GGCAGTCACATGGGACTGAGGCCTTTACCAGGTGGGATCTGAGGCTACTCGAGACAGTGTTAGGATTGAGTTCAACTGCTGGACACTCAGTTGGTCAGAGAACTGGAGAATTGGGGTGGAAAAATGACACATACTTGGTGTTAAAAGAAAACCATTACAGATCCAGGGAGTGCCCCTGAACTGAAGGCCAGCTTTGGTGGGGTGGGGACACTTTCAGATAAACTAGAGTCTCCTCTGTATATGCCAGATCACAGAAAAGCAACACTAAGAGACACCTGAGAAATCGCCTCTAATTTCTTCACAGAGACTGAACAGGTAGTGAGCCGTGCACTATTTTTAGATGTCTTGAGGTAACTATTTTGCTTCCTAAAACGACTAATCATGCGTTTTCTATTGCCTACAGTGGATGTAATTCTTTCTACCCCAGGCTGATTAGGGAAGTGGTCAGAATAAACTGCTACCAATAGGATTTTCTGCACCCTCTTTATACAGCCACACTTGGGAGGTTACACATGTTCTTCTCGCTTCTTAAGAAGGCATACCTGAGCTTCCCTGGTGGCGCAGTGGTTGAGAGTCCGCCTGCCGATGCAGGGGACATGGGTTCGTGACCCAGTCCAGGAAGATCCCACATGCGGCAGAGCGGCTGGGCCCGTGAGCCATGGCCGCTGAGCCTGTGCGTCCGGAGCCTGTGCTCCGCAACGCGGAGAGGCCACAACAGTGAGAGGCCCGCGTACCGCAAAAAAAAAAAAAAAAAAAAAAAAAAAAAAGGCATATCTAGTTACCTTCCTGCTACCACCGAAACAGAGCAGGACTCTGTGAGGCCTTCTCAGGTACAAAAGCCCCCGCTGTGTCTCCTGTTTCTTGTTTGTGGAAAAAAAGGCTTTAGTCTTCTAGGCCTTCCCTAAGTTCCAAAGAGGAGACTCTAGCAGTTACCAATTAGGAAAGTGAGGGAATGTAGAAACAAAGGAAAAGCAATCCAGCAAGAAAAGTAATGGTAGCTTAAACACTAGTTCATCAATAAGACAGAGTCCTAGTTCTTCCTCAAGGGATAAACGTTAACAACCTGATGCATATCTTTGAGTTGCTCTGCAGAAACTAAGACCCCCGCCTGGGTGGAGGACGGTGACTACATGCTGAGCACAAGCACGTAGATCCCAGGCAGGCTGGAACCAGAAGGTTGATGATTAAGATTCCTGTCACCTCACCACAAACCAATCAGAAGAAAGTCCACAAGCTGATCACACACCCTGCAACTCTCACCCCTAATGTTGCCTTTGAAAGCCCTTCCCTGAAAGCCATCTTTAGGTTTGGAAACTGATATGAGAAATTTTAACAGGACTGTGGACAAGCTGCAGGGACAAGGGACAATGCCATATGAAGATAATCAGAGCTCCACCTGTGCCAGGGAACCCTGCTGCTGAGGTGAAAGGGTCAGGGAAAAATAAGATCTAACACGAAAATACCTATGTTCCAGGCTCTGGGCCAGCTTCATTCACACATACTTTCTGACCTAAGGTAATTCAGCAACACTGAAAACTGAGCATTAATATCTCTATTTTGAAGATGAGGAGACCGTAATTCACATGGGTTAAGGAAGCTTAACCTAAGGCCACATAAACAAAGAATGTCGCCCACCATTCCACCTCTAGAAATGGTGGGATGAAGGATTAAGCTGCAATCCACTGCAGTTGCCCACCGACAGTGCACCTTGGGGGGAATTCAGGTTAGAAAAACCAGGAAGCACTCGGTGCTTTGGCTATATGGCCCCCAGATAGTTACGATGCATGTGTAAGGAAGAATTTCAATAACCCCAGATTCCTGCAACTTCCTATACATACATAGGAAAAAAAAAACAAAACAGCACTAAAATCATTAACTTGAGATGTCTGTTCTCTGTGATTAGTAGTGATCTTTTTTATGCTTGACTACATGTATTTCCCAGCCAAAAACATTGAAATATATGCTGGCTTCTCCCCTACCTCTTAGATCAGTTCCTCAGAGCTACCTGAGAGCCTGCCTCCTGGGCTAGTGCTCAGTGAGGCCCAAATAAAACTTAACTCACAGCTGTCACATCGTGCGTTTTCTCCATCCACAGCCACACGTCACATAACACGCTACCCGTTTGTGCAACTGCTGCTTTTCCCTGAGAGAAAAATCAGCTGGCTTTGTTACTGCCTCGGTTCCTGTGACAAACGTCCTGACATATTTTCACTTGGTCCTGTCCTCTTGAGCTTCCCAAAATACATGGCAGAAACAAAAGTCTGTTTCACGTCTGCACAATCTTAGCTTCCAAAGCCATCTTACATCCATGAGAGTAACACTCTACTACAGGGAGGGCAGGGCCTTTTACTCCCATTACACCTGAGAGAATAATGCCAGAAGGGTTGCTGGTTTTTCTGCTCCTCCAATCTAGGTTGTAGGGGGTGGGGGAGGGGTGTTATTACTTTTGTCTTGTTTTTTAACAAGGCCTCGAAGACATTCAAGAAAAGGCAGTGCTACCCTAGCTAGTTTCAGAATCATTTTTTCCAAGTGTAAACGCTTTCTTTCAAGGTGTGAGTCCTGAGCCACCTAAACAGGTGGCCCCTGGAACATCATGTGCAGCCCTTAACGCAGGGAAAGGGCC